GTGTGTGTGTGTGTGTGTGTGTGTGTGTGTGTGTGTGTGTGTGTGTGCATGTATCAATTAGATAGGTATTCTTCAAATCTTTCAAAGACCTTCAGAATATGGCATTCAAAATTCTTTAAGAGCTTAAGATTTTTCATTACAATGAGACATATCTGCTACATGCAGCACCAATCTACTTCAAGAGGATGATAGGCACCAATGATGCTTCTTATGGTTTTGGTTAGCCATTTGGGTAGGAATCTGTTTTGGCCTGGACTGCTTGAGGAACTGTACCTGCAATAATCACAGAGAAATGACTGCTGAACTTGCCCAAAGGTGAGGCAATTCTTTGGGGTTTCTGCTTCATGAATGAGTCTGCCAGAGGATCTGCAGGACACAGAAGAAAGAAACTGACAGACAATACAGGCAGGAGTATCTTTAAAATTTCCTGTTTCATGGAAAAGTATTCTGGATACTATGGGCCTGTATGCTGAATACAGATGCCCCCAAATTAAAGAACTTTGGGTGATTTTACAGGCAGCAAGATGTCTCTGTCAACCGTTTTGGAAGTTGTTTACAATGTACTTCCTGTTTACTTAGGTAATATTCTATCCTTCTGGAGTCTTTGATGGAATTGAAGAATATATAGTGATAATAATAGTTTTTCTTAGTTGTGATAGAAGATAAAGTACATATAAATATTATAACTGTAATTCTTGCTTGATACCTGTTTTGTTATATGTAATTTTACTGTGTTAAAGTTAAAACCTTCCTTTTCACTTAGACAATAAAAAGAGAAGGCGTTTGTCTTTCTTTCTATGTGTTGCTTTTATTTGTTAGTGAAAAAAGAAGCTGTTTCAGCCTGTGGCTTAGGAGAATAAGACAAGGATGGAAAAATCTAAACTGAATTTTAGGAGAAAGAATGTGGAATCAGTTAGATGCCATGTAGCCACCAGAAGTGAAAATGCGAGCCTCCAGCTAGAACCTTGCCATGAGCCTCATGGTAAAATATAAAATAATAGAAATGGGTTAATTTAATATGCAAGTGCTTGCTAGGAATATGCTATAGTAATTGCGCAAACAGTGTTTTAAGTAATGCAGTTTCTGTGTGGTTATTTCAGAGCTGAGCAGCCAGGAACAAATAAGTGGCCTCAATACAACAATGACCATTACTTTTGTTTTTTTTCACCTTTCCATAAATTATTTTACTTTTTATTACATTTTACTTAATTAAATAGTCTTTTATGTCCCCTGTTGAGTATGTATTTGTCTGTGTGTATGTTTGGGCATTTTTCTATGTACATATTTTACATGGCATATTTGTGATATCAGAGAACACTTGCACATGATTGATTCTTTGTCATTTGGTCTGGGAATTAAGGTCAGGTATGACATCAGAATTGGTTGCAAGTGTTTTTGCCATCTGAAGCATCTTTCTGCCACTTAAATTCTTTAGTTGAAATAAATTCATTGTACTCAGTTTTCTTTTTATAAAAAAGACTATCTTTTCCATTTTTCATACCTACCATAGTTCTCACTGTCTCCCTCCTCCTGCTCCTCAGAAATCACCACACCACAACCCCCCCCCCCCCCATCCAACTCTCAGAGAAGATAAGGCTTCCAATGGGGAGTCAACATACTCTGGCATATTACTTTGTGACAGAACCAAGGTTTTCCCCCCTATATTTAGACTGAGCAAAGAATTCCTCCAAAAAGAATGAGCTCCAAAAAGCCAGTTCAAATATAGGGGTAAATGTTCATTTCACTGATAGTGGCATCACAGAATGCCCAAACCACACAAAGATCACCAACATTTGGAAGGCCTAGTTTGGTCCTATGCAGGTTTCACTGCTATCAGCCCAGAGTCAGTGAGCTCCCACTAGCTCAGGCCAGTTATTTGTGTGGGTATCTCCATCCCATTATGTTCTTGACCCCTTTACTGATATTGTTTTTCTCTCTTTGACAAGTGTCTGGAATCTTGATCTAGTACTTAGCTGTGGGTCTTTGCATCTGCTTCTCTAAGTTGCTGGATGAAGGTAATGACAATAGTCATTAATCTGAATGCAGAGGCAGATTAGGTTAGGCAATCTCTCAACTCTTGCTTAAGGTCTTTACTAGGGTTATTCTTGTGGATTCCTGGGAATTTCTCTACTGCCAGGTTTCATGCTAGCCCCCTAATGGCTCCCACAATCAATAGATCTCTTTCCTTGTTCTTTCTCTGTGTCCTTCCCCCATCTTGACCAATCCATTACCCATATTCTCCTCCTTCATTCCCTTCTCCCCTCCTCCTTGTCCCTCCCTTCACCTCTGTCCCATGCTCCCAACTATTGCAGGAGATCTTCCTATTTTGCCTTTCTAGGCAGATCAATGTATATCTCCCTTAGGGTTCTCTTTATTACCTATCTTCTCTGTGGTCATGGACTATAGGCTTGCTATTGTTGTTGCCTTACACATAATGTCCACTTATGAGTGAGTGCATACCATGATTGTCTTTGTCCAATCTTTGGTTGAGGATCATCTAGGTTGTTTCCAAACACTAGCTATTATTAATAATGCTGCTATAAAAGCAGTTGAGCAAATGCCCTTGTGATATGAATTGCATTCTTTGGTTATATGCCTGAGAGTGTTATTGAAGGTCATAAGGTAGATCAGATCCCAAATTTCTGAGAAACAGCCATACTGATTTCCAAGGGGCTGCACAAGTTTGACTCTAACCTGCAATGGAAGAGTGTTCCCCTGACTCTGATTCCTCTCCACGATAAGCAATTATTGATGTTTTTGATCTTAGCAATTCTGACTGGTGTAAGATGCTATCTCAGAGTTGTTTTGATTTTCGTCTCTCTAATGGCTAAGAATATTGAGCAATTTTAAAGTGTCTTTCTGCCATTTGATAGTCTTCTACTGAAAATTTTCTGTACCACATTTTCTAATTGGATTATTTTATATTTTGATGTTTAATTTCATGAGCTCTACTTTGGAGATCAGTGCTATTTCTGATGAATGGTTGGTGAAGATCTTAGCCCATTCAGTTGACTATGATTTTTTCTTAATGACTGTGTTCTTTGCAGTATACAAGCTTCTCAGTTTCAGGAAGTAGCATTTATTAATTGTTATTCTCTGTGTCTGTACTACTGGTATTATATTTAGAGAGTGGATTTCTGGCCCAAGTTTTCAAAGCTACTTTCCCCCTTTTCTTTCATGAGTTTAAGTATAGTTGAATAGATGCTGAGGTCTTTGTACAATTTGAACTTGAGTTTTATGCATATGTATAGATATGTATGTATTTTCATTCTTCTACATGTTGACATCCAGTTATGCTAGCACAATCTGTT